CGTAATATGAAGGAAAAATATTTTTAACAAAAGATTCTTCTCACGTTTGGAAGCGATGATCAGAATTTTAGAATACTTCTCATCATTCACTACAGATGGCGCCTGTCTATTATATGCTAAAATGTTTCAAATGTTGTTTGTTTGTTTTGTTTGTTTGTTTTTAATTATGCACAAAGTTACACAAGGGCTATCTGTGCTCTGCCCACCACGGGTATCGAAACCCGATTTCTAGCGTTGTAAGTCCGCAGACATACCGCTGTGTCACTGGGGGGCTGTTAAAGTTCAAAATTAAAACGCTTGATACAGAGGAATGTGTTTCAAACAAACTTTTAAAATAAAAAGTTTTCTGATCGTATGGGTTGAATAAGCTAGAAATATGTTCATGTTTTTTAAGGGTTTAGTATGATGTTAAGCGCATAGAGTATAATTTTAAATAATCTACTTGGAATTTATCGAATGTAAACGTTATAAATTATACGAGAAAGGATTTTACTCTTCTTACAAAAGAGGAATCTATAAATAGTGGATATGTTCGAACTACCTACGTGTTTCTTTAACACATTATGTAGGCATATTTGCTGTTCTGTTTACAACATATTGAGTAGAACTAGCAGAAATAAATAAGTTATTATTTAGTCGTCATCAACCTTCTTTCTACAAGGAAAGAATAATGTCACAGTTTGTTTATAAAAGATATTTACAACCTGCAGACTTTATCCCAGTGGCAAGCATGCCGGACAGTGTATCTAGGGTCCAATGTTCGCGTCTCGTTACCGTGTAAAAATTGCACTCATTACTTTCAAGCAGTGGGTTCGTTTCCTATATAAACAAAAATCGTTTTAATAGCATATATACAACATACTACCGTGTACATAAACACAACCTTTTAAGAAAAATATGATTACAAAATAAACTTTACTCGGAAATGAGTTAGAGATGAAGGTTAAACGGTCTCAGAGGTTGTTATTGTATTATTAATGAAGAACTACACATTGGGCTATATGTACTCTGTCTCCCGCGGGGAATCGAACTCTGTATTTTAGTGTTTCAAGTTCTCAAACTTACCGGTGATTTACCAGGGAAGGCAAAGTATAAGAAATAAATTCTGTTAAGTAATACCACTGTTTACGCAGGAATGTACTGTAGTGCCATCTAGTGAATATCTAAATTATTAAGATCCTTAGTTTGCCGGAAGTATCGCTGATTTGGTAAAGCTCACAGTTAAGAGTGGCACGTTGAAATGGAGCACGTGGAGTTTATGACGACAGAAGTAACAAGATGAGCACGAGTAAGTTGTAATATTTACATTTTTGTACGTGTACTGAGTCCTGTTGATGGTATTAAACAGCTTACTAAATAATGTCAACAGCAGGAGATTACCTGTAGAATTTATCAACACACCTATCTTTAGGGTGCGGGAAACCAGGTGTAAAATTACATAGCCAAGATACAGCTATAAGTCGAGCTTTAATTATACATAATAAAGCAATGCACCCAACATATCTCTCAAATAGTTGTCAGGTATTGTAACACACAACAGGGAAACAACAAAACACTAGACTTTATCAAGTTCCGTCTTACCATTGTAGTGCAGGAAAACGCCTGAACACTAGAAAATAGGAATTTGGAGACGACTTGAATAGGTAATGAAGGACACGTTGTACATCTATAATTAAATTTTCTTCATTGCCCATTCAAGCCGTCTCGAAATTTTTAAGTTCGAAAAAGCAGCTAAACACCTAACTATAGACATTATAAAGTTCAGTCTCCATTTTGTAATGCAGGTAAACACCTAAACACTAAACATCATCAAGTCCTGTCTCCATATTGTAATACAGGTAAACACCTAAGCACTAGACATCACCAAGTCCTGTCTCCATATTGTAATACAGGTAAACACCTAAACGCTAGTTTATCAAGTTTTGTATTCATATTGTAATACAAGGAAAACCTAAACACTAGACTTTATAAATATCAGTTTTTATATTGTAATTGAGGAATACATCTAGACACTAGACTTTATCAAGTTCAGTCTACATATTCTAATGTAAGGAAATACCTAATTATTAGATATTTTCATGTTCAGTCTTCACATTTTAATACAGGAAAACACCTAAACAGTGGACTTTATATAATTCAATCTCTATATTGTAATGAAGGCAAACACCTAGAAATATACTTTATGAAGTTCAGTTTCCATATAGTAATGCAAGAAAACATATAAACACCATACTTTATAATGTTCTGCTTCCATATAGCAATGCAGGAAAACACTAAGCACACGACTTTATAAAGTTTATTTTTCGTGTTGTAACGGGAAAAACCAAATAACTAGACTTGTATTGTTTTGAATGTTTTTAAAACTCAAAGTATTGATACACGAAAAAAATGTGATTTAAAAATATAACACACTTCCACAATCCAAAAATGTAGCATCTGAGCTATATCTTCTTAAAAAAGAATGTTATTTAAAGCATGAAAAATATCTCTAGAAAAAATTAAATGAACTCGTGTAGTTAATTCTCTGTCAGATATATATATATATATATATATTAGAAAATTCGTTTTTTTTTAAAGTACGCATGACTGTGACCCAGATACAAGTCTAGTATCAGAATTTGAAAACTGTTCACATTCGATTGACGATTTTAAAGGTTCGTGTATCACATGAATGAGAATATGCTAAATTTACTTACAGATATGATATAAAATTGGTTCCAATGTCCAATAGATGAAGTATCTTTTGGTTTTAGCAGTTGGCCTCAGTGTCTTACGGTTAAAGCAACTTATTAATTGATTTAAACAGCTGGTACCGGTGTTTTACAGTTGAAGCAACTTATTAATTGATTTAAACAGCTGGTACCGGTGTTTTACAGTTGAAGCAACTTATTGGTCTAACAGCTGGTCCCGGTGTCTTACAGTTGAAACAACTTATTGATTTAAACTGCTGGTCCCAGTGTCTTACAATTAGAAAAACTTATAGATTTCAGAAACGGGGTTCTAAAAGGTGGGTCCAGCGCCTTACTGTCCAAAAAAACGTATTGGTTTAAACATCTAAATCCAGCCTTTTACTGTTGAAGTGAAGTATTGGTTCAAACAGATGGGTCCCATGTCTTTCATTTGAAGTGACTTACAGGTTTAAGCACTGGGTTCAGTTTCTTCAAATGAAAGAAACTTATTAGTTTAAGCAGTTGGGTCCAATGTCTTACAGTTGAAGCAACACAAACATATGGGTCCAGTGTCATAGAGATTAAGTGCCTTGTAGATTTAAACAAATAAATGCAATACCTTAATACGGAAGTAACTTATAAGTGTAAACAAGTTATTTAAAATATTCTTCAACTGGAAATAGTTTGCTATATTGTAAGGCAGATTTAGTATCTATGAATTTATTTGAGTGTCTAAAGGTGGTAATGTTTCTGTAAGGTGCTGATTTCGTACTTTGTAGTATGTGGTTAAATACTAAAGTTGGTAGGCTTCATTGTAGTTGCTGTGTTCAGACAATATAGTGATAATTTACCTGCAAGATTATTAAAGTGAAAAGATGCTTATAATGTTGTATTACTGATATTGAAAACTACCTTCAGTATCCAAGTATTATAGTTATAATATGTTGCACCTTAATCATATAAAGTTATTGAAGTTATGTTCCCAAGATGGCATGCTATTGTTTATAATAACATCTGCCTTCGGTTTCCTCCTACTGTTATATTTCAATGATACTGAATGCTGGGTTTAGGCTTTTATTGTTTACATTATCATAGGTTTATTTACGTAACTGTGTACAAATCATACGTTGTGTTAGTTCACTAGTTGGCGTTTGTTATTATGTTACAAGAACCTTCTAAGTTTTCTCATTGCTTCACTGATTACTGTTACATTGTCAGATTTAAAAAAAAAATAATATTATATATGTATATGGATTCTGTTTTGTTTTTTCCCAATTTTCGAAATAAATGGCTTTTACTTATATTTCTTAATAGTACTGTTACGTCTCCGTTTGTTAATTGATTTTCCGTAACTTCGTTCCGACGAAACTTAAGCGACACAAGTTCTTTCTTAATAAAAACTGGTTTATTCTTTCCGAATACAACTTCACCGATACACTCAACTTCAACAATCGCGCTAAACAAACGCTATAACAACGAACGTCAATAATACTTCTGACTGCAGTTCAATTACTCACTATCTACACAGACATTACCTTGTCACGTTGTCCCCCTCTTTTATATACCCGACTACCCTATATCTAGTAAGAACTAGAACATTCGCCAAAGTACAGGATAATTCTAGAAAGTAGAGAGCGTGAGAATCACATGATCTCGATGACGCAACATTATATTTATTTACAGACAGTTAATACCACATTGTAGCCCACTGACGACTCAGCGGTAAAGTGGTGGGCTTATAACTATAAAAAAATTTGGATTCGATACCTGCCTAAGGCTCTGTGCAGATAGCCTGTTGTGTACTTTTGTGCTTAACAGCAAACAAAAGGAGTTAAATAAATTCAATAATGACTTTTAAACACTCGTTAGTTTAAAAAGGTTTGTAACGAATTTTATGATTGTTAACTGTTCAAGATGAAAGCATACTGATTGTATTTTTTTTGAGGTTTTCACATTTTGTAAATACGTTTAAAAATAAAATTTTAAGCTGTTTTTCACTTTGTGTAAAGACATTTACGGACGGACGCTTTTTTGCGCAGATGTTGATGGGTTGAGTATTTCTAGCATATTTGATATTCTATTACAAAGTAAAATTTATTTTGTTTTTATACTTTGCGCATGACCCGGCATGGCCAGGTGGTTAAGGCGCTCGACTCGCAATCTGAGGGTCGCGGGTTCGAATCCCCGTCACACCAAACATGCTCGCCCTTTCAGCCGTGGGTGCCATATAATGTGACGGTCAATCCCACTATTCGTTGGTAAAAGAGTAG